AACCTCTTCTAACCGGTTCGGTAGATTTGACGAACCGGTTCTACGGAACTGGTGCGAACTGGTAGGAACCCACCTCTGATGCCCATGATTTAGAGTGAGGGTTTTTTGTTGTTGTTGAAAATGCCCATTGCAGACAATGGATTCACTTTATGTCTAGTGTGTTTGCAATAATTTATTTAATGACTGCTACAAAAAGAATAAAATTGGATGTGGTCACATGGTGGCACAGCTTATATGACTATAATTCTGGGATCAATTATGGTCATAAGTCAAGGACTATTTGCAGCGTCCATATTACCGTAAATGTAATGGAATTCTCTGAACCTGAGAATGGATGTTTGCAAAATATTGCAGAACCAGACAGCTGTAGATTCCTTCTTCTTTATCAGGCATATAAGTAATAACTTTTCGCTTCTGTTAATACAGGAAATGGGGGCTGATATCCACCTTCCAGGACTCTGTTAATGTCATTCTTTTTTCTTTGCACTAAATCTGATGGGATTGAATAATAATCTATCTTTCTTAGTTATGAGTACCCTGTGGGTGCTCAACATTAATATTTTCAATACAGAGAAGTTTCTTCGTTTACACTGCAAGTTTTGAGCCATTATGCATGATTGCTGAGATAATTTCTTGTGGCTTTCATATCAGAAATGCAATTATTTACCAAATGTGTTCTTGTCCCTAACACAAATAAATACCTTACATTCAGTGGCTTTGTACAGATGAATAAATATTGTTTTTGTTCTATGGATTAGATGCAGTTCCTCATTGTAGAATCTCTTTTGGCTGAATAGTACTACATCTGTGGTGTGTTATAGTCTTTGGACATTACATAGCAATTATCTTGTGTTTCCATTTATTTATTTTTTTGGCATATTTAGAAACCATAGATATTTTTCCATTAAGAGTAGGCCGAAGTTAAATCATGATAGTATTATGATAAGATATTCAAACAATGTGTTTCCTTTTTTAAAGTGGACTTAATGTGTTTAGATTTAAAAATAGAACGTAGATTTCTTTGTTTAGAAACCTTTAAATAAAAATAGTCCGTAGATGTCTGAACTGCTTATAAATCTCTTTTTAATAACAGCTACACATTTTTTTCCATCGAATGGCATTGCGTAATATTTTCAGACAGTTGTTAAGGTTTTGTTTGTTTTTCTGACTCCATAAAATATAATGAAATTCATACCTTCCAAAGTTGCATTTCCCTTGCCAAAAGCTAAAGTCCTCACTTCCATATTGGGCCTGGATTTTTTAAAGATCTCATTCTTTTTTAAGATTAACCATTCATCAGGATTTCTGTAGCTAATCCAGAGTTTTCTAAATGCCAACAGTCGGTAATGCAATGTCCACATTCGTTATGCTTTTTTGGACACAATTTAATGATTGTGAATAGATAGGTAATGCTTTTTCTTAACACAATCACATATCTGAGCATGACAATGTTACCAAAAATACTCTGGTCAACTGTATTGGGGCAATATTTTCACATGGCTGCACAAACTAAAAATAGAAAATGCACCTGGATATAGACATGAAAAAATTCTGCTTGACTGCAGACTGAAGTTGATTCTTTTCCCCACCCCTTGTTCTTTGGGGTGGGGAAAAGAATCAACTTCATTTTAGCCTACATTTTCCTCTGTTTAGAACAGGATGGTCAGTCTCTTAGCCAGGGTCATATTCAGTCTCAGGGACCCCCTTTTCTGCCATTTGGAGATGGGATATACTGAAAAGCGTTAATGCGAGGAGCTGCAACCTCAGCCACTTTAAGACTTGCGGACTTCAACTCCCAGAATTCCTCAGCAAGCCCGCCATGCTGTCTGAGGGAATCTGGGAGTTTGAAGTCCACAAGTCTTAAAGCAGGCGAGGTTGGAGACCTCTTCTTTAATGTGCAGGAAGTTTTTAAATAAGCTGAATATCATTTTTTTTTTAAAAGAGGTGGGTAGTAAAACAAAGTTTGGGGGAAAGTTCCACTTAGGGTCAACTGAGATGTGTTAATACAGGTCTTTTCCAGAGGTGAGTTCCTACCAGTTTGGACCGGTTCGGCCGAGTAGGTAATCACTCGGCCTGCCACGCCCCCGAACTGGTTCTATCGGCAGCGGCGGCATCTTGATTTTCAGTTCTGCACATGCGCAGAAAAATTTTCATTGCAAATTTTTTCTTTTTTTCTCCCTCCTACCTGAGAGACCGCCTCCTGCCACTCACCTCCCAACGACTAATAAGATCGCACAGGCTGGGCCTCCTCCGGGTGCCGTCAACCGGACAATGCCAGTTGGCGGCTCCCCGGGGGAGGGCCTTCTCTGTTGCTGCGCCGGCCCTGTGGAACGATCTACCCGCAGAGATCTGGACCCTTACCACTCTCCTGGCCTTCTGTAAAGCCATTAAGACCTGGTTGTTCCGGCAGGCCTGGGGCTGTCGATTGATATCCAGCCCCCGCTTAGATGTAATGGATGATGTGAGTTTTA